CTTTGGAGACCAGGCTGGCCTCGAACTCACAGAGATCCGCCTGCCTCTGCCTCCCGAGTGCTGGGATTAAAGGCGTGCGCCACCACCGCCCGGCCTTTGCCGATGCTTTCTTGTAACACGATGGTCCTGGCAATTCTTCTGAACCAGCAGCAGTAAACCCTTCGTCCCAGGTAGCAGCATCACCGTAGTCACCAACACGATGAGAAGGATCTGGCAAAGTGGAGCAGTAGCCACTGCTTCCATGGTCCCACCACTGTTTGTGGCTCAGTCCAGGCCAAAGCTGCTCCCAAGCCTCCTAGGCCGGCCTCAAACTCGGGATCCTACTGCCTCTGTCTCCTTCATCAAATCCTACCGGTGTGTGCCACCACAACCGCCTGAGTGTAGCTTGGGCCTGAGCTGGGGCTCACAAGGCCACAGGCAAACAGCTTTTTCATGAATTCGTAACACGAACGTTGGGCGCCAGATGTAGAAGGAACCTTAAAAGTTCTTATTAATGAAATCAAACCTGAGGCGAGTTATTGGGGTCCATGCTGGTAGATCAGAGAGACAGAACAAGCCACAGCTATCTCACCTCGCCGGATCCTCAGCTGGTCTTGTCTCCTCAGACTGGAGGCCTCTGAGTCCTCATCCGGAATGGGTCTCAGCTACCATTGGCCTCTGCCCTGGGGTTTCTTCCTTGCCCGCAGGGTTCACATCCTTCTCCAGCAACATGAGTCTAAAGGTGGCCACTTTTTCCTGAATCTGCTGTTCTTCGTACCCCTGCTCTTCCATCATCTCCTCCAGCTCGAGGCATCGCAGCTCCACGCGCCGCTTGTGCTCGTGGTCCAGGATGTCAGGATTAGGACGCTTCACCAGGGCAGCCTCCAGGCGCCTCAGTTCCTCCTCTCCCTTGTAGTCAGGCCGCTCACCACGGCGGCCCCGCACCAGGGACAGGTTGCGCTGGACATAGCCATTGGTGCCGCTGCCCCGGGGCGTCGGCAGCCCGATCCCGTTGTACATGGCCCTGTGCCCAGGGGGGCACCACCGCTCCTGCCGCCGCCACCGCCGCCGCCCCCGCCGCCCCCGCCCAGAGGTCCTGCTGCAGCCAATGCTGGAGTGGAGGAATCCCTCAGGGCCTGAAGCTGCCGCCTTGCAGGTCTGCCTGCCTCTGCAGCCGCAGCCCCCCGACTTTTGGGTGCCAGATGTAGAAGGAACCTTAAAAGTTCTTATTAATAAAATCAAACCTGAGGCGAGTTATTGGGGACCATGCTGGTAGATCAGAGAGACAGAACAAGCCACAGCTATCTCACCTGGGCTGGATCCTCAGCTGGTCTTGTCTCCTCACACTGGAGGCCTCTGAGTCCTCATCCGGAATGGGTCTCAGCTCAATTACTGCTCAAAAGCCTGAATGCTTAACCAGCCAAAATGCTGCTAGTTTCTCGTCCTCATGCCTTATATATCTGTCTGCTTTCTACCACCACTCCCTCGGATTAAAGGCTGGCTTTCTGGGGTTAAAGGCTGGCTTTCTGGGATTAAAGGCATGTGTCACCATGCTTGGCTATTTCCTATGTGGCCTTGAACTCAGAGATCCCGAGGGATCAGCTCCTGGTCTTCAGGGTCCACCCCTAACATCCTCATGTCTAGATTCCTAATTTCAGGCCAATGTTGGAATGTTGGACATGTTTAGGATTCTCCTTGGAGTCACACACAAGTCAGCTTTGGTTGTCTTAGGATTTCAGCCAGAGTCTTATCTTTCTAGGTAGAATTTAGCCTTCACTTTTAAGGCCATGACATAGACCCTTCCACTGTTTCTTTGGATCTCTGGACCTTATGCCATTTGGAATATAAATTATTTTCACAGCTTTGTGTGGTGCTGGTGGCTACAGGTTGAGTTTCAGAGCTAGAAGCTCTGGGCAGGTTATCTAATCCTGGGCTGTGTAGAGACATCAGGAAGCTTCTTCTGAAGGTCCCGGTTTCCATCCCTTTGGGACTGTGTCAGGTGACCATGAACATAGTGTTCTTCAGGAGCAGGAGAAAGTGCTGGCTCTGGAAGTGCTTTCAAGCCTCACTAGATGTGGGAGTTCCGTTTGTGACCTTCCTGTGTGGGCTGTTTGCCACAAGCGAGGATTTCAGAACCTAGTAGACACTGACAAGTGAAGTTCTATGAGCACTATGTCCAGCTGCCCAATAGAGCCTGAATGTAGAGTTTCACAATAGCTCCTATGTTGGAAGTATCAGTGTGTCCCCCTGTCACAGAGGTTTTAGGACCATTGCTGCTCTTGGTAATCCTGTGAAAGAAAAGGGCATTAGCTTTCCAATCTTGAGTGCCATGCCCTGGTCTCTCCTAAAGCCCAGCTTGCAACAGACTCTAGGAAGGGCCTAGGTCAGTGCTGGCCTGGATTTTAGGAATGCAGAGTCCATCCTGAGGTTTTCAAAAGTGGAGCACTCATTTTGGACCATGGAGTTTGAGGTCCTAGAAACAGAGTCTAGTATTCCATTCTCTCCACAGCCTTTTTGTGGGAAGTTCTCTCGAGATTAGTTTCCTTGTCACACTTTATCAATGTATTAAAGTTGTCTGCAATGGATCTTTATAGATGTTCTAAGTTTATATCCAAACAGTATTCCATAATTGGACTGCTACAGAAGCTTTGGTAATGCATGGCCCTATCTGGAAGCCTTGTCTGACTTGCTCTTCTAGAGGCTGCCAGGATACTGTGCAGGTATCTCCCACCCATTCTTTTCTAGAACTGAGAGTATTATGACAGGACACATATGGAAACTCACAAAATGACATTTAGGAAGGCTCCATTGTCATCATTTTATTCTTGACATTGAAATCTGACAGCTTCTTGGTTCTGCAACTGTTTGTCATTATTGGAATCATCTTACAGACTAAAACCTCAAGGAAATAAAACTTTTCATGGTGGGAGTTGGTGTCAGTTCCTTTACAATGCTTACTTCACTGATGCATATCACACAGTTAGTACCACAATGAGGACGTCTTAGTCTACGGAACCCATGGTGTCTTTCTGATAGGGTGTGAGGCTGTCTGTGACTTTGGCCGCCCAAGGGGCCACTTTAGAAATAATTATGAAATTTATGCAGATAACTTTTAATTTCATTAATTAGTAATAGTTTCCATAATCATGTGACTCTCCTGGGAGTGTCACAGGAGTGAGTGAAAACACTTCAGCTGTCTTAGTGCTAATGTCTCATCCGAGGTGATGAACTGAAACCTGTGGTGACTTGTTCCTTCATTGGCTCTGGATTTTTAGTATCTACTGAAATGACCTCATGAGATGCTAGAAGTAGTGAGGGAATGAACAATATTACTCTTTTCTGACTCTAGATGAGCAGTGTCAGAAAGATTATGCAGGTCCTCCTGCCCCTCAGGAGCTCTTTCAGGGTTTATTTTTTTCACTTTGTATGTGTCTGAGAACATTTCATTTTGTCATACTGAATAGTCCCCAAATGCTAGTCTGCTCAGAAGTGACTGGCTTCTTGTGAATTACTGGTAGTCAGTGTAGATGGGGCTGTTGCTGTCTAGATCTCTCAAGTTCTGTATGCACTCCAAAATGGCAGCTTATTATTCCAAGGGAACAGAATACTTATTGGATGGGGAAATACTATGCATAGTGGAGTATATTTTACCTTCATAGTAGTTGGTGAAGCCAGCTGTCACCAGAGTAACCAGAAGAGCTAGATGCTATATTGATAGGCAGTATTTCATTGAAGCCTTCTAGATAAAGAGCTCTCAATATTGGCATTAGAGAGTAGAGTGCTGTCACTAATGCTGGTACAGAAAAATGAATCTGCTCCTGTTTGTCAGGCAACAGTGTATGGCCTTTGGTATGAGCTTTTTGAGTATGTAAGGCACCCTCACAGCCACAGTGCAGGCTGTAGCATATGGGATTCCCTTTACCTCCATGTGAGTACTCATTTCTTCAATATGGCATCTTGAGTCAGGTGACAGATCTAATTTTTATCATAATTCCTCATGATAATTAACCGTTTGTTTGCCATCGTGGCACACTGACATTTGAGGATGACATTGGTGCTGGTGAGTTTCTAGGAGTATTCTGTGGACAATGGGCATTTGTGTCCTATCGTGGACTGGGTTGGTATGTGAGCTTATTTCATTTGTAGCTCACCAAGTTCTGGCTATGTTGTAAGTTTAGATCTTTCATAAGATGAGCTACTTCATTAGATGGTAGATCTGGCAGCATCTTTTACCTAGGTAAACATTCTCCCTGTGAGTTGAATTTAAATGTGTCCTTGAGGTGAACTTTCCATTTGTGAGTCTATTTGCCTTGAGATCAATCAAGTCTAAACCTTCCATTTCCTTGTGATACCTGATGTGCATGAAGAATGTGAAGAGGATAAAAGATGCCATCTTCAGTGGGACCTGGTCCTGTGCTCAGTGCATGAGTTGGCTCTTTCAAACCTGGGGCTTATGCAGGGATGTTTGGCTCAGCCTGGCAGGAAGGGACTGGACATGCCTGGACTGAGTCTACCAGGTTGATCTCAATTCTCAGGGGAGTCTTTGCTCTGGAGGAGATGGGAATGGAGGGTGGGCTGGGGGGAAGGGGAGGGTGCGGGAGGGGGGAGAACAAGGGAATCCATGGCTGATATGTAGAATTAAATTATATTGTAAAATAAAATAAAATAACAAGGGAAAAAAGATGCCATCTTGTGGAGGAAATGAGGAGGTGGCATTTGCTTCAGTAACTTTATTATAAAAAGCTTGGAAATAAAATATGCCATATAGCTAACAAGACCCAAAGTTTATAAACCCCAGTGAACTTCTGTACAGTTAGAACAGCCATTCTGAAGGTATGGAACTTCACATGGATTTTATATTTTTACCATTGAATATATTTTTATGGACTTAACCACGACCACCTCACCCCCCAAAATGACCATTAGAACTATGAGAGCAATTTTTATATCTTCTTCCAGGAGTTAATGGTCCATTTCTGTGACTCAGTCCTTCATAGCAAGTAGTATTTCTAAAGGGATCTCTCATTTTGACCAAGTTTATTTCAGTGTTTGGAAATAAGATTTCTGTGGAAACTTCTGGATGCTTACTTGGGGTTTCTGTGACACTCGGGTACCACATATGGGATGGTAGGGATAACAATTTCCTTCTTTCCTCTACTCTCACCCCCCCCAAAAAAAAAAACATGTCCAGCTAGGTGACATTCTTTTATCTTCAGAATTACAAAAGCATTTGTACCCCAGTGATGAGTTCCTGATGTTTGTCCCCAACTTTTCCAGGTCAGGTATAGCTGAGAAAGATTGACTTTTTCCATCCCAATTGAGACTA